CCTGTCGCTGGGCACCACTGAAAAGAGCTTGGCCTCATCCTCCTGACACCCACCCTTCAGATATTTGTAGGCATTTATAAGGTCCCCTCGCAGCCTTCTCTTCTTCAGGCTGAACAAGCCCAGTTCCCTCAACCTCTCCTCGTAGTGGAGATGCTCCAGTCCCCTCACCATCCTTGTAGCCCTCCGCTGGACTCTCTCCAGTAGCTCTTCATCCTTCTTGAACTGGGGAGCCCAGAACTGGACACAGTACTCCATATGGGGCCTCACCAGGGCAGTGTAGAGGGGAGGGAGAACCTCCCTTGTCCTGCTGGCCACACTCTTCTTGATGCACCCCAGGATCCCATTGGCTTTCTTGGCAGCCAGGGCACACTGCTGGCTCATGGTTAACCTGTCGTCCACCAGGACACCCAGGTCCCTCTCCGCACAGCTGCAGTCCAGCAGGTCAGCCCCAAGCCTGTACTGATGCATGGGGTTGTTCCTCCCCAGGTGCAGGACCCTGCATTTGCCTTTGTTGAACCTCATCAGATTCCTCTCTACCCAGCTTTCCAGCCTATCCAGGTCACGCTGAATGGCAGCATAGCCTTCTGGTGTATCTACCACACCTCCCAGTTTGGTGTCATCAGCAAACTTGCTGAGGGTACATTCTAACTCTTCATCCAGGTCGTTGATGAAGAAGTTAAACAAGACTGGGCCCAGTACTGACCCCTGAAGGACACCACTAGTTACCAGCCTTCCAACTAGACTCAGCGCTGCTGATGACAACCCTCTGAGTTCTGCCATTCAGCCAGTTCTCTATCCACTTCACTGAAGTCAAGGGAAGAGAACTCTGTGTATACAAAAGAAAGTTCTGACATGACAAGCACTTTGAAAATGTGCTAGGTCTTCTGCAGCTGTTTTGCTTCCTCACATTATTCATTTAGAGCTCTTCATACAACTTTTCGTTTGTTTGTTTGACAATATTACCCAAGTAGACTGGAATGATTGACTGAAGTCAGTGGGACTGACCCAGCTGAGGTTGGGGATATGCTTATTTTGTGACAAAGAGCACGGAGGATCCTCAGTCTTGAAATCGGAAACCTCATGCCTGCCGCAAGGCAATGCTGATCAACTCAGCTCTGGGGCTGGTGCGCATTGCGTATGTTGTTAGTGTTGGCAAGCTTGGGGATCCCTTGCAATGGCACTTCATACTGCTGTAAAGGTATCACTTGCCTGCAAAGGATTGTAAATAAATAGAAAATTAATAGCATGGTTTCTCAAGATGGTTTGCTGTTTGGTTTGTAGTGATCTGTTCTCTTAAAGTGTGTTGAGTGGTGATCATTGTAGTGGGTTACATTCTTTAGATTGGATTTAGTTTTCTAAGGGCTGAGTCAAGATTACCCGCTTTGTAAGCTTTGTGCTTACAAAGGGTTGACTTTAACAAGTCCTGTTCATTGCAAAACATCTGATTTCTTTAAATAGTCTGTAGCCTGTTTTCCTGTTCCAGCCCCAATGTTTTGCCCCTTTATTGCTACTTTCAATCATTTGATCATTTCTGTTAATGAAAGCTGGAGGAAAAAACACATACATTACTAAAACCATGTCAGAATGATCTTGTGCTTTTCTTGGGGACTGACACACTGGCTGTGTCCTTCGGCTTCCTTTTTGCTGTCAACATGCTTTTGCAATACCTGCTTTTTAGAAGAAGTCAGGAGAATGAAACGCTCGTACTGTGGCCAGTGTATTTGAGCCAGAGCTTGACTCCCTGGTTGAACCCAAGCATGTCTTTGATTTATCCAGTTGCCTCATTCACATTTTGTGTCTTCAGGTGCAACACAGTTCTGGCATTTACAAAGTTCACAAGATACCTACCTTCATAGGAAGCAGGCAGGTAGAAAAAAAAGTTGTATAAATTGCATCTCAATACTAAAGAGACAGGGAACTTTGAAGTGTGCTAAACACAAAATGAAGTCTTTAATACTTGTGTTTTACATAACTTGTAATTAGTCTTTGAAAGGAACAAAGATGCTTAAATCTTTACCACTGATACTCTTCCCCCAGCTCTGTGGCTCACTGTCTCTCCTAAGAATAGAGAATTGGTTGGTGGGCTGTAGGTGTGGTTTTTTATCATGTGTAAACATTTCAACGCTTCTCGTTTTTTTTGTTTTGTTTTGGGTTTTTCTTGAGAATGACATGAAGTGAAAAAGAGAAGGCAGATAAAGAGTGGATTTTGATAGTTGCTCAGTGGTGTCTCTGGCTCAGTTAATATTTTTAAGGAATTGACCATTATGCCTAGATGATTAGATGTTATTGCCTTTGTGCATTATACTTGTGGAAGTGATAGGTAGGTAGCTTCAGAGCTGCCTGAAAGACATTATGTGAGTTTTAGCAAATATCTGGCAAATATCTTTTGGCTTGCTTATCCATTCTGATAGACTCAGCAGAATGCAGACTTCATGGTATTGTGAAATGTCCGACCTGTTTAATTACAAATTCTGAAAGTGAATGCAGATCAGAGCAAAGAAAAATCTTTTTTCAAATAACATAGTGATGTGGCTAGCCTTTATAATCAATCCCATGCCTGGTGCAACTGTATCTGATAGCATTTACCATAAGCTTCTTTTAGAAGTTTTATCTTCCACTCATTGATTTATTTCTGTGTGATCTTTTAGAGCTACAAATGATGTGTTGATGGTATTGCTCGGTACCAGTCTTTGTTTTTAATGTCAGAATTTCTGTGGGGATGCTTCAACGCTCCCTGCTTTATCTGCTTTCTGCTTCTGTAACCTGTTACAAAATTTTTTTTTTTCGGAAGTCTGAAGATACTTTCCTCACCCTTGGTATAGAGAACTCCGCTTTCCCAATCTGCACTTTGTTCTGTTGGCTGTAGCCCACCTTTATTTTTGTGTTTGGGAGAGCCAGAACTGAGGGAGCCTTTCTGGCTTAGCAAATCCAGCAGCTCCTTATTGCTCTGGGCTGTCACATCATAGGAGGCAACTGTCAACTAAAATCCAGGATGGTTAAAGTGGAACTTGTGATCTTTTTGTCCCTCCACACCTCAAACCATTTTTAACAGCCTGGGCACTGTTATCTTCCCGGTTGTCTTGTATTCTTAATGTCACTTTTGGCTTGGCTTTCATCCAAGCAGTAAACACATTCTGGTGCTGCTTTGTCTGTAGCAACAAACTTTTGATCTTTCTGCTCATTCTGTATCACTTAAATTCTCATGAAGTCCTTACACATTTTGACATAATCAATTTTCGCCTATCCTGCCTTTAATTGCTGCAGTATAACCACCATGGGTCTGTCAGACATTTTGCTACCGGAATAACCTTCCTGTTTTTTATTCCTTTTTCATCAAATCATCTGTGCAGCATCTTTTCTCTTGGCTTTTCAAGATCTACAAGGCATATTCTTCTTGTCTCAATCCTGATAAGCAGAATGAGTTAGACCACCATTTAGTTCCATCAGTGTTTCTAGTGCTCACTGCTCTGCTTTTATTCTTAGGCAAAACTGTCTGAAAAACACGTGCATAGCAATTATTCTATTTTGTGTCACTCCTCACAGTTGTTCTCTGCTGTGAAGCCTTAGAAGAACCTCCCGGTGACTGATGTGGTCAGCTTGAGTCTGTTTTTCTTCCTCCTGCTCCTGATTCTTTAGTTACTTTTACTGTAATTTCCTCTCAATTTATTTCTGTCTCCAGCTGCGGGGAGGGGAGAAAAAAAAAAACCCACAACAAACTGCAAAGCTGCTTTATTTATTATCGTGGTTTTGGCTTCATCTTTGTCCAGTTTTACAGCAATCTGAGAATTATGCTAATTTGTTTTTTGAGACCAGAAGTTTAAGCATTATGTTTGTCATATTGGTTGTATGTTCATACGTTGCTTTACAGCAGACATGTTGTGCACATGATCTTGCTTTTGAAGAAATTATTTTTATCACTATTTTGTCACTGTGTTATTGCTCAAATTTATTTTCATTCCCTACGAACAGGCTGATTTGTTGTAGCACTTGTCTGGCCACAGAGTTTCTATCACAGGGTCATGGAAGCCTCTTACTTCTCATGCCTGCCTTCTTTGCCTGTTCTGGATTCTGTATCACCTTTGTTTTGTGGCATTTCGCATATTTTTGTAGCCTGTGTGTAAGCAGAATGCATGATATAATCTAAAGCCAGAACTATGTTTATGTTTTCATGTCCAGATGTGGTTTTGACAAATAGCTAAGCTTCAGAGGATGTCTGTTTATGTACGTCCTTAGACCAATATGGTAGCTCTGGGAAGTTCTTCCTACTGTGATTCTTCTTCTAGCTGTAACTTGTGCTTACATTCCACGAATGTAGAGGTGGGGGGTTCCCTCTTTTTTTTTTTCCTTTTTTTTTTCCTTGTCTTTTTTTCCTTTTAAAATGTTTTTTCTGCTGTGTTTTGATGGGGTTTTTTTTCTGCTTTTTTTTTTTATAGTTTTGCAACAGGGCACTGGTGTACCCTATTTCTTATTATTTTCCTATAATGTGAATATTTCCTTGCTTTCTACAGTCAAGACATCGGCAGGATAGAGGTTTTCATGGAATGAGAACTTGTTTAAAAGCATCGTTTGTATTTTACCTAAGTTGGCCACAGCTCACATAAGCAGTGAAGCCCATGCATAAGTAATACTTCTTTGATTTGTCTGTGTCTTTGGTTGCTGTCAGATTGAAGATAACTGTCTCCAGGGGTGAAGTCGTCAGTCTCCCAGTAGGCAGATGGGCTAAAGCGTGTATGGGCATTAAGGTGTAGTAAGAAATTTGTTCTCTGTCTTCTCTTTTCCTGAGACAGGTATTGATCTATATGGTGTGATTTTTTTTCTCCTATTTGAACACCATGCTACTCAAATAGAAAACTCTATGGTTGTCTTTTAATTCAGGTTTGATTTAAATTACATCTTAGAATTAGAAATGTTCCTTCATCTTACCTGTCATCTGAAACGGCTTGGCTGGAGCCATTCTTGCTGTGTTTGTGGTTTTTCAGTTGTTTAATTCTTTGTTTTAGGAGGTCTCTGCTGATCCCCCAGGAACTCTCACAGCTGCTGAAGAGAGAAAGGAGAAGGTGCCAAGCCCACATCTCAGTCATCTCGTAGTTTTGACATCTGGCAATTCGCTGTATGGTTTGGCAGAGAGAGTGGTGGCCACAGAATCCTTGTAGGTTATTTACTGTACACTGCATTTTGTGGTCACTGGAAGCTATGGATTGTTTAAGAGATTGTGATTACAAGCCAAAACCTTCTTGAGAGGTCGAAAATTCCTACTTCTCAATATGATTTTAGATATGAGTGATAGAGGTAATTTCTTAACTAAAGACAGTGGGACATCTGGTCTAACCACCTGCAAGCTCATGCAATGAAATTTTACTGCAGCTGGTCCAGTAATTTGTGACAGTACAAGGCCAAATCTAACAGGAAAAATCTTTAATTTTAAAGAGGCTAAAGGGGTATTTAACGTGTATGGTTCGTTTAAACCTTATATTAAGTACTCAAATGCTGATGGCTGAGACTCAAAACTGCTTAGTTCATATTGGTTGGGCTTGGATTGCAGTGTTCTTTGCCATGGGTAGAAGTTTACCTGCGAAAAAGAGATTATAAAGAACAAGTAATGCATAACTTACAAAGTAGTTCTTATTTGGTCAGAATAATAGTAAGAGTCAGAAATTATTTTTTTCCCACACACAAGATGACACTTAAAGATTAGAAGTTCATTTTTAAATTAATTTTAAAAATGTGTTTTCAAAGGAGTTTATTTTCTTTTGCATTGATTTATGCTTAGTTAGAAATGTGTTTCTTTGTTATGTTGTTATTAAATCCTACCCCTGAGAGAGGATTTGATCTCATATTCTATCTTTTAAAGATTCACTAGTATATAAGTAATTAGGAGCGTTTTTTTGGAATTCTGACATGGATTTATTAATATTAACATTGACTGCCCTGCTGTATGGAAATTATGGGAGTCTTGTCCACTGACTTTACTAGACTGTGGATCAGACTTTTGCAGCGTATCCCGAGTAAAGTAGAAACACGAATATTCAAGCCTTAGTCTCTTTATTCAAGCTTTTTCTTGTTTGCTATAATTTTTTAAAATTGTCGGAATTGAGAATACTCATTGATATGCTGGCATGAAACTGGTACAGTTCTTCTCAGGATTAAATTTTCCAAGGTTACGTATCATTATTGCCAAATATGTCAACTGTAGAGTAAAAGTCCTGCGGAGACATGCCAAATGCTACATTTAGTTCACAGTAAATTTTCTTTGCTTTTAAAGGGTATTTCTGGCTGAGCAGTTTGAGTTTCTTCAGCCTCATCTTGATGCGGTGATGCCAGCTGCCAAGAAGCCTTTTCTTCAGCAGTTCTATTCTCAGGTCAGAATTGTGTAATTCACAGCTATTTTTTAAACAGAAAATCTGAAACTTGTACAATATGGTGCAAATACTTGTACATCTAGTAATATATTGGTCTTATTAGCCAGAAATTTACTGAACTGAATTTTACTTGTATTCTGTTTCAGACAGTGTCAACTGCCAGTGAACTACGTAAACCAGTATATTGGATTGTTGCTGCTAAAGCCATTGATTATGAACAAATGCTGCTTCTCATGGCTAATGTGAAATGGGATGTGAAGGAAATAATGTCACAACACAATATATATGTAGATGCTCTTTTAAAGGTGAATACTTTCTGGGAAACGGTGTGCTAGAGTTTATATAAACATTAAATTACTGTAATACTTCACTAAAACTGTTGAAGTAGGATGGTTAGAGCGATATGGCATCCTGACAAATGATAAGTTATTATAAGGAGGTCTTTCCAGAATTTTCATTATTAGTGCCACTAGCAGATTGTTTTCAGTGCTGATTTTTTGAGTACGTGGTGGGTGAAATTGTTGACCACAGAAGTTCAGTGAGTTTCATGTCTGAATCTTGAATGGTAGATAAATGTGTAGTAAATTGAGTGACATTGAAGAAAATCCAGTGGCTTGAGATAGTGTTTTTTTTTAACAATGGCTATTTGGTGTTCCACAGAATTGTAACGATTGTCTTTGAGATGTATTGTAGGGGCTGTAGGTCAAACGAGCACTGATAATGATTGTGCTCTAATTGAAGGTGCTATATTTAGAAGTTAGCATTTGAAAAGGAAGGTCAAAGGGAAGTTATTCACCCAACTTCTCAATTGCATTCAGTTGCAGTAGTTATACAGTTGCTGTGTTTTATGGCACACAAAACCAGTTCTTGGAGAATCCCTCTCTCATCCTTTTATCTATGCCTAAGTGATATTTCTAAAGGTCTTTAGAAGAAAGTTCTGGCAGTGGTAGAATTATACTAATTCTTACAGAGAAACTGAAAATTTTATTTTAAAGATGTGTGAAGTATGTATCACAGAAAGAAGTTATGCATCTGTGTTGAATAACAGTTTTGATTACACCTTTGTACTTTGTAGCTGTTCTCTGCTTAAAAAAAAATCAATGCAAAGAAGGGAGAATCTGATACAGGATGCTGAATTTGACTGAATCTTTGTGACTACCCTTTTTTATGCTGCCATGACTTTTTGAAATCAGCTTGTACTTAGAATGTTTGGTGTCTGCAGTAGAACTTTTTCCTTTTGTGAGTGTGCAACTGCTGATGAATTTGCTTCAGGACAATCAGGGCTAATACCATTTAAAACCATTTCTGGCCTATGTTATACAGCTAATAATAGTTGCTACAGAAACTTTTAGATTACTGCTAAGCAATTAGTTCTTTGGTGAGTACGCTGGGACTCCAGGAGTGTCAGATGTAAGCAGAATCTTTAATGTGACATCTAACTACTTTTAGCCATGTGCACAGATATGCGAAGTTCTATACTCAGTCATTGTATGTATGGAAGCAGATAAAGTGGGGAAAGAGGATTGTTCAAGACATGCATTAGCACGGAGTGTTAGGCATCTTTGTCTTCAGAAGAGTGAGCTGTATGCTGGTTAAAGCATGACATTGTGGTACCCTGTTTCCTCTTGCGAAATTCCTCTTTCAGAAAATTTGTGTTACACACCAATTATATGGTCAGATACTAGGTTAAATTTGTTGCTGAGATTCACTTCTGATTTGATTTACTTACTGAATTTTTCATAGGGGAAAAAAGGGGGGCAGGGAGGGGAAGAGGAAAAAAACGCCTGTATGAACTCCCTTGGAATAAAAGCACTTTATTGGGCAAGTGTGGTCTTAATAGGCTGCAGTACAAACTGCTTTTGCTGGTTACACAGCATTTTGCTGGTTACACAGAGAACGCTGTTTTATTTTTAAGTCATTCGATACTTTTTTTTAAATGATAGAGGTGTTTGTCACTGGCAGCGCACTTCTATTTCACTTTAACTCACAAAATCATTGTAGCAGTAATTGCGTCCAGTTATGACTAGCTCAAATCCATTCAGGCCATTGGTGTTTCAGGCGGAAACAGGTGCCTTCCCTCAACCTGAATTGTTATGTAGCATTGCAGTATGCTCCTAAACTGTTAGATTTGGACTTTTTTCAGTGGGTGCTCTCAGCTCCTCTTAAAGCACCAGGAGACTATCTACTGCAAATGGTTGAAGAATGAAAAGTGGTTGCAATATTTCTGAGCTTGTCTTTGAAAGCTGATGGGATAGAGGAATAATGAGATCATCACTGGATTTTCTTCAGTGGCTGTATGTTGACTTTAAAAAAAGTTAAAGATGAGTTTAGGGAGTGAGCCAAAGAAAATGGCATTTGAAAGATGAGCTGCCTGGTTAATTCTGAGAGGTGTCAGTTTCACAGAGAACTACACCTATGGGGAACCGAGCAGTATTTCCTTTTTTTAAAAAAATTACTGAGGTAATGTTGTGAATGATATACTAGAAAGCGGCATGCTTTCTACTTCACACATTAAGCTTGTCTCTGCAGTCTGTGCCTTTTAAGCTTCCTTGCTTTGCTCTTATTTTGCAGTATTCTCTTTCATGTGCATTTCTAATGATTTGTTGTTGTTGTTGCTAGGGATGTGCAGACTATGATCCCTTTTATGCTAAAGCAGTAATGATATTTCTTGTTTCATCAGGAATTTGAAGAATTTAACAGAAGATTGAACGAGGTGTCTAAAAGAGTCCGTATTCCACTGCCAGTCTCCAACATCCTTTGGGAGCACTGCATACGCCTGGCCAATAGAACACTCGTGGAAGGGTAAGTAGTTCATGAAAGTCTTGCTTTGGGGTAAATACATCTATAATGATAAGGTCTGGTTTATGGAATTACAAGTTCTAATTTTGTAGTGCACTGGTAAGCCTTTGCAGTTTTGGACAGTGTGAAAAATAACAGGGCTGAACACAGAATCATAGAATCATTAAGGTTGGAAAAGACCTCTGAGATCATCAAGTCCAACCGTCAACCCAACACCACCATGCCTGCTAAACCATGTCCTGAAGTGCCACGTCTACACGTTTTTTGAACACCTCCAGAGATGGTGACTCCACCACTTCCCTGGGCAGCCTGTCCCAGTGCCTGACCGCTCTTTCAGTAAAGAAATTTTTCCTAATATCCAGTTTAACATGGTCCTTAGCAGTTGTTTCATGGAGTATGGTACGGCCCTAAGCCTAAAGCGGATGGTCTTGTACGGAAGTACAGCTGAAGAATGGCATTGTCTGAGTATTTTATTGAAGCATTTGAAACAACATACTTCTCTTTCAAAGAAACTTCTATATGAAAATTATCATTTCCCGACAGAGCAAAGAAGAAAGATGAAGTGTAATTGTCAGCATCTCTATGGTGATCCCATTTGTCTTTACTGGGAAGAAAGGTGGAGTTGTCAACCCTAGCAGTTATCTTAGAGTAGCCATGGAGCAGGATTTTTCCAAATTCATCAGGAGCAGAGAGATGTCTTAGTTGGATTGGTAAATAGAGGCTTAAGCACATTAGTCAGGAACTGCTACACCTTGCTCATCTCTCCCTCTTAAGCAGTGTCCCAGTCTTTTCAGAGTCAGTATTGTAGCTGCATTTGTTTTTGTGCTCTTGTGCCCTTGCTACATGTGTCTGGACTCTCATCACACCTTCTTCTGCATCATAGAATATGTGCTTGTCTTCCACTCTTTCTACATATGTTTCCATCTTTCTTTCCTGTTTATCTTTACCCTATGCGCTTCCTGCTACCTATTTTACTTCTTTCCATCCCACTCTCCTGTTGTGTGCTCTAATTTAGGACCTCAACAGCATCCTTCTTTTCTGAGTGCTAGCTGTATATTAAGAATTATCAGCTTCCACTGCTTCCATCAAGCCATCATTTTTAAACTCATGCCCGTTTCTTCTCATGCCATCCTTTTGCAGTCTCTTGAGAGATCAATTTCATCTTCAGGGAGACTAAATCCAGCCATGACCTCCCTCTGGCTTCTCAGTTCCTTTATATGACATATGACCTGTACAACTATCTTTTCTTTTTGAAATTTTGTTTTCCACTTACCATGCCTCAAATCAAAAGCAATGGAACAAAAGCATCTGTCTTTTCCTTCCCCCATCCCCCTTTCCTTTCAAGTGGATAACACAATCAGTCGCTACCAATCTCCTCTGTCTTTGCCCTTGTGCCTTCCCAGTTTTACTCATCTTTTGTGACTTCAGTGTTCACAAACCACTTAATTCTTAGCTGTGAAGATCATCAATCATATGTCTTGTTCCGTGCTGCAGTTTTGGTTCAGACTGGGGCCTTACCATGAAACTTTCACCCTTACTTTCACCTAAGCATTACACTGACTGGTCAAAGTGGACTGGGAATACCTTTCTGATATGATTTGTCCTGTGCCCTTTCTCAGAGTGTAAAGAGCAGTCATTATTATCTCCTCCCAAATATCTGCTGGTAATTTCTCTTTCTTGCCCAGTTCTTTTTTTTTTCTCCTCACGTGTCTTGTAGTTTCTTTTGCCACTGGGCAAAGGGAAGGAGGGTATTCTGAACAGCTGACTGTCTGCATACCTTCATGACTTCTTTCATCTCTGAATTCCATGAAGGTATGGAATTAAAAGCCATGAAGGAGGTGTTTCTCCTCCAGTCAGTCAGTCAACTGAAGTTGCTTTCATCAGGCGCTTCACTGAATAAAGAATCATCTCCAGTACAGTCAGCCGTATCCTTCTGTAAATTTTGCCCTTCCCTGTCTCCTAGTTCTATGTTCTCACCTGTTTCCCATCTGGCTTTGTGTAGTGCTTTGGTATGTCCTATTGAGAATCATCGTCTGGTCTTCCTCGGAGCTCCAGAGGGCTTCTGCCTTGGTGCTTTTCTCTTTTTGCCTCTGTTATTTTTGCATTCTGCAAATTCTTTCTGTGTACTAACTGTAAGGGTGCAATTTCTTCTGATTCTTAACCTGATCTTGCTGTGTATCCAGTTTCCAGCTCCATGTTTCTGCTGCCTCATTTGCATCAGGCCTAATAATTTAGAGACTGCATAGTAATTAGGATCAACTTCACCAACCAGTGGAAGACTGAGCTGGCTTTAAATTTGGTACAAAGGAAGAGTGCAAACAGCGGGACAGGATTGTCACTTGTAGCAGCAGCCTGTGGGTGAGCTGGATTAAGTCTGTTAAGACACTGTGCCCCAGACCAAAGTTTTTTTTATTCCCTGTACACAGCTGAAATTGGCACTGTTAAGGGCATTGCGGTGTCATTTCCTTTGATCTTGACAAATGCAATTTCTTATCCATTTACAAAACTGCAAAGATCATTTTCCTCATTTGTTGCCTATCACCCCACTGCAGTCCCTCCTGGTATCACCTTGCCCTAAGTTCATCTACTGTCTCTTTTTCTCTGAGCTCAAACCTGTCACCAGTTTTCTGTCAATGTACTCTCATTAAAACTTGAACTTCTCACAGAGATTACCGAGTGCTGCCACCCTTTATCCTCTGGTTAGTGTGGGTGGTCTTGAACAAACAGCTTTGTGCCTGTCTCTGATGCTGCCACTGTTGGTTCAGCAAGCTCCGGGTGACCATTCCTAAAGCTGCTGCATTATCTTCCATACTTCGGTGGTCATGATCACTTGACTAAAGCCACTCTCTGGTGTGCTGATCAGCTGTTTTGGTTTGGCCTGGACAAATGCCAGGTGCCCACCAAAACTGCTCCATCACTCCCCCTCCCCAGCTGGACAGGGGAGAAAAAATGTGACGAAAGGCTCTTGGGTCGAGCTAAGGACAGGGAGAGATCACTCACTAATTACTGTCACGGACAAAACAGACTGAACTTGGGGAGAAAAGGAAAGTTTAATTTATCACCAATCAAATCAGAGTAGGATAATGAGAAATAGAACTAGATCTTAAAACACCTTCCCCCCATCCCTCCCTTCTTCCGGGGCTCAACTTCACTCCCATTTCTCTACCTCCTCCCCCTGAGCAGCACAGGGGGATGGGGAATGGGGGTTGTGGTCAGTTCATCACACATTGTCTCTGCTGCTCCTTCCTCCTCAGGGGGAGGACTCCTCACACTCTGCCCCTGCTCCACCGTGAGGTCCTTCTCACAGGAGACAGTTCTCCACAAACTTCTCCAGTGTGAGTCCTTCCTACGGGCTGCAGCTCTTCACGAACTGCCCAGCGTGGGTCCTTCCCATGGGGTGCAGTCCTTCAGGAACAGGCTGCTCCAGCGTGGGTTCCCCATGGGGTCACAAGCCCTGCCAGCAAACCTGCTCTGGTGTGGGCTCCTCTCTCCATGGGTCTGCAGGTCCTGCCAGGAGCCTGCTCTAGTGTAGGCT